CATTCCTGTGCCCTCCAGGGCTCCTGGGATGTTCCTGAAACGTGGGAATGGAGGTTCCCTTGGTGCCATCACCCTGGGCATGTCCCCATTCCTGTGCCCTCCAGGGCTCCTGGAATAATCAGGGATGATCCTGAAATGTGGGAATGGACATTCCCCTGGTGCCATCACCCTGGGCATGTCCCCATTCCTGTGCCCTCCAGGGCTCCAGGCATGTTCCTGAAATGTGGGAATGGAGGTTCCTTTGGTGCCATCACCCTGGGGATGTCCCCATTCCTGTGCCCTCCAGGGCTCCAGGCATGGTCCTGAAATGTGGGAAAGGACATTCCCTTGGTGCCATCACCCTGGGCATGTCCCCATTCCTGTGTCCTCCAGGGCTCCTGGGATGATCCTGAAATGTGGGAATGGAGGTTCCTTTGGTGCCATCACCCTGGGATGTCCCCATTCCTGTTGGATCATCCTGGCTCTCCATCTCCCCTCCTCATCCCAATTTCTCCTTTCCTGGCTTTCCTTCCTAGGGTGACCCTGGACCCGACGGCCCGAGGGGTCCCCCAGGCCCTCCAGGGAAACCTGTGAGTATCCCCCGGGAGGGAGGAGCTTCCCCAGGCTCATCCTGGGGATTGGGGCTGGAATTTGAGCTCTGGCTCTCCCCTCCCACCCTACTCCTTGTTTCCTGCTCCTGATGTAAAATCCTGGAATTCTGATGGTTTCCTTCCCTGCAGGGACTCCCGGGACACCTCCAAGGCGTGGAAGGCAGCGCTGATTTCCTGGTGAGAGCTGCCATCACCTTGTCCCCCACTGTGTCCCCTCTTCCTGGCCTTCTCCAGGTCATTCCCAACTCATCCTTGTCCCTCCTCTCCTCCCAGTGTCCCACCAGCTGCCCCCCAGGTCCCAAAGGCCCCCAGGGACTGCAGGGACTGAAGGTAAGGAAATCCTGGAGATGCCATGGAGGGGGAAAAATGGGAATTGTCACCTCCAGGATGTGGTGGAGTGAAGGATCCTTCTCTGCATCTCTGGATCTCCAGGGAGGCCTGGAGGGAAGGTCCCTGTGGGTCCCCAGCCCCTTCCTGGGGGTGGCATCCTGTGCCAAAGCCCCAGCCCCAGCTCAGGATGTCACTTGTGAGATTCTGAATGTCCCCAGTGGGATTTTGAGCCCATTCCATGTCACCTGTGGGATTCTGAACCTCCCCAATGTCCCCAGTGGGATTTTGAG